GCTAGGAGCTGGAACCAACTTCCAAGGGAAGTGGTGCTGGCCCCTACCCTGGGGGTCTTTAAGAAGAGGCTGGATGCCTACCTGGCTGGACTCATTTGAGTCCCGTTTCTCTTTTTGGGGTTTTTATTGTTGTTCTCCCGCCCTGGCGGGGGGTCGGGCTAGAAGATCTACTAGGTCCCTTCCAACCCTAAATCTATGAAAAAAAAGAAAGGTCCTTTTTAGTTCACGTTGTAACTAAAATACCTCATAATTTTGGGGTGGGAAAAATGACTAGATTGTCTTTCTAACCTGGCTGAAAAGCCTTCTGAGATAGGCATAGATGGATATGTGTTGCTAGGAACATTAAGGTTGCAAGCATCAGACATCAGTGATGCTGAAGAATTTTTCTGTCTAACCTATTAGTAATGGTATTGTCAAGGTATTGCCCCACTCCTCCTGCCCTTGATGCAGCTCTGGAAGCATGGAGTGCAATCCCCTGTACCACCACAGTGCTGCCAGATCAGTGGATGTTTTTTGGTTTCTCTTCCTTTCCTAAGAGTAATCTTTATCATCTCCCGTTTGGTAGCCAGCTTCTCTGGAAAAACCAATGACCACTTCCCAAAAGTGCTCTTCTCTTTTCTTCCTCTTACTCTCCTATGTTTATGCAAGTTTACCATCATTGTCTGGCTTCCTGTTGTGACCCAAGTTTTTCCTTTTTCCCCACCCTTGTAGTCTGCCTGAACTTTTTATTTTTGAACTTCTCCTCTTCAATCTTTAGGGAGTCATTTTTCTATAGAAAATCTCCTTGCTCACCCTTGAAGGCTTTTATTCTCTTACGATAGCTTTTAAGGATATTACTATGCATACCACAGATGTAGTTCCTGCCATTCTTCACAATGCTCAATGCTGTCTGTGTTCTTCATTTATAATCTGGACTAAATATACTTTTCCAGAATTCTTACAACTATAATAAATCACTGCCTTCTGTGAAACAGAATACTCTACTGTTCATTTAGTAAGAAAATTTAAGGATAGCACCTTAAAAACCACTAGGTCTGCTTCTTCCCTCCTGTGGAACATCTTTTAATTCAGTGGCCTTGATCCATATGTGTATGTGTGTAAATGAAATAACGAGGCCCACATCCCTAAGAGTATGTGGCATAATTCACTTATAGCCACTTTTTTTTGTTTGTTTTAATAAAGAATTGACAAATGGATACTTAACTGACAATGGAAAAAAGTCCTTGAATACTTACTGCATCTTCTCTATGTTGGGTACTTCCTTGAATGAAATGAGCCAGAAAGTACAATCTGTGTTCAGCACAAATTGTGAATAAATGTTTTTCACATCTGTGAGCATTCTATTTTTGTATGTAGTCCCACTAAAGACAAGAGGTTCTTGTGTTAAATTTAAACATTTATGAAGTCTAGGGTTAGAATAAAGGCTAGGTAGTCTGTCTAACATGGCTGAAAGGTCTTTTTTGAGTCTGGAATAGAGAAATGTGTTGCTAGGGACATTAGGGTGTTTAGAGTTGTTCCCAATTTTAGTTTATCTTTACAGAAGCTGATGAATAATTTTTAACAATTTAGAAAATAGTTTATTTAACATTGATGAGAAAGTGGAAGATGCTGTCTGCATGCAGAGATGATTTCTACTGCTAAGAACAATTCAGAATGGCCCCTGACTTCCCTAGCTGGGACTGGTAAGATGTTCAAAAGGAAAAGGAAAAAGTATTGTCCTTTCTTGGTACCTGTTGCAACTTCTGTATGTTGAATGACTTTGAATGATACTGTCCAGACTTGTACAGTACATGATGATTCTCCAATGCTTCTCAGTGCTTCTTTAATGCTCATTAGGTGCAGAAGTCACTTTGGCATTAGAAGAATTCACAGAAGAAATGTTGACTGGATGGCATTGTGGAAGATGTTTAGTATTGATTTTTAAGTTACTTTTTTTTCTTGGTAGCTCTTAATGAAAGTTCTTGGTAGCTCCCTGTATCTGACTCTCTTGGACTCTAAAGAAATTATCTTCTTGCATCCCAAGTAGTTATGGATGCAAGAATGCTTTCATTTCACTGTCCAGGTATTGATCTGTCTTTGTGTATGAAACTCCCATTATTGTCAGTTGGAGGTCCACGTACAAATAGTTCATAGGCTTAAGTCAAGTATTTCCACTTAATGCTGCATAATTTTCCAAAACAATTGTCCTCTGAGTCTACATGACAATGTTCAACCAAGAGTAAAATGTATTAAAGGTTCAGAAGACAGTCTGTTCAACTGTTCCTGATTTATCCAACTATGACAGTGCTTTTCTTGCTTTTGTTTCAATGTATGAGATGATAAATCAGTGCCTATTTTTGGAAAAATTCCAGGTTTGATGCACAGTCATCATCAAGGACTCTGTTTTGGGAAGGTCAGAAGTAATTGGTTGTGAAGTATGCTTATAAACAAATGATAATAGCTCACATGGCATTCACAATCTGATGCTTGCTACTAAACTTAACAATATACATATGTGACTTTCCTACATACAAGAATAGAGAATCCCATATTAATATAAGTAATCTTTAAGTTTACTTTATATAGGGTTGATATATCCTTTAAGAATGAGGCAGTCTGAAAAGTGACCTATTGAATAAATTGGATGATACATTATGCCATTATGCATCTGTGGCAAAATAAGCTTCTCCAGACACGTTCTTCCTTGGGGGCTATAATAGTAGTTTCAGATCTATGATCTTAACTATTTGCAACTGCCAAAAGAGTGCCAGTTTGATGGCAGGTTCTGCGGCAACCACCTGTTTCCTAGGATTTAGAATCAGGCCACAAGCCAATTTCATAAGTGCAGGTGGCACCAAATGTCACATACTCTCATCCAACCTAGTTTTTGACCAAATGAACTCTAAACTACTTTTTTGCTGTGTGTGTTTATGTAGCACCTAGTCTAATAGGAGCCCTGGTTGTGAATCAGGTCTCAGTAAAATAACTGAAGTGCATGTTACATTCCCATGATTACTTGATTTCATGCATCCATCAGTTTCCTTTTTTTTCCTGTTGTTACATTTGTATTGCAATGGCTTAAGCTTTATAGAGATAGAGACAAATTTATTTGCAAAATATTGCATATGTTAGAGTGCTATGTCACTTCAGACTCATAGATGCTAGGGTCAGAATGGACCCTGATAGGCCATTGAGTCGGATCCCCTGCCCTGGGCAGGAAAGAGCGTTGGGGTCAAGCAATCCCAGCTAGATGCTTATCCAGTCTTGTCTTGAAGACCCCCAAAGTAGGAGAGAGCACCACCTCCCTTGGAAGCCCATTCCAAATTCTGGCAACTCTTACTGCAAAGAAGTTCTTCCTAATGTCCAACCTAAATCTGCTCTCCGTCAATTTGAGGTCATTATTCCTAGTTACTCCAG